GGAAGCAAGGGAAGGAAGATGAGAGCGCATGGGAGGGGTGAGCGACGTGTCACGTGTCACTCCTTGCTGCTGGGAGGAGGAGCAGCTAAGAGCACTCGTGGAAGTGGGACAGACTAGGAGGGAACGGGAAGGAGCTTTTGGAGGTACTTGCGACGGCGCATGTGGAAGAAGCAGGGCGGCGCATGTGGAAGAAGCAGGGCGGCGCATGTGGAAGAAGCAGGGCGGCGCATGTGGAAGAAGCAGGGCGGCACATGTGGAAGAAGCAGGGCGGCACATGTGGAAGAAGCAGGGCGGCACATGTGGAAGAAGCAGGGCGGCGCATGTGGAAGAACAAAAACTAAAAAACAGTCTAACAAAAGAAGGTGCCTACCTGCTGCTGCTGTTAATCACCATGTACTAACGCGAGATGCATGCGCAGCAGCATGCTTTCGTGCCTCCGTCCGTTGGGACTCACTATAGGTGCCTCAGGTGTGTTATGACTCGTTGTAAGCATACCTGCTGCTGCATGCTCTTGTTATTGCCGTGTGCCGACGCCAGGTGCATGCGCAGCTTGCTCTCGTGCCTCCGCTGTTGTGACTCGTTATTAGAATCTCAAGTGTTGTGACTCGTTATTAGAATCTCAAGTGTTGTGACTAGTTATAAGCATACCTGCTGCTGTTTATCCCCATGTGCTGACGCCAGGTGCATGCGCAGCTTGTTCTCATGTGCAAAGCGCTTGCCACACTCTAGGATCGGGCACGTGTGGTAGTTCTCCCCCGTGTGCGTGCGCATGTGAGAACGGCGGTTGAAATCCAGCGAGAATGCCTGTTGTGTATGTGTGTATGCATATGGTGGGTCCAAGAGGGGGAGCAGAGGTTAAGACGCAGGGGAGGATGGGGTTGTTCTCCTTGGTGTGTGGCATGTGTGCATGCATCTGGCAATGCAAAGGCGGATGAGTCGCAGTTGAGAATGAGACGGGTAAGGGGGCTCCAACCACCCCTCCTCTCCCTGGGTGAGGGGGCTCCAACCACCCCTCCTCTCCCTGGGTTTAGGGTTGTGCATGTGTGTGCATGTGTGTGCATGTGCAAACGGCTGTTGAAGTCCAACAGGATCGATTCTTTAGGCGCCTTTCAAGGCGCCTCAAAAATGGCCCAACTGGAGCGCGTGCTCGGCCGTGCATGTGCTCGGCCATGCATGTGCTCGGCCATGCATGTGCGTTGCGCAGCAAAGGGAAATGGTTGGCAGAGGTGAGCAGGCAGAGGGGGAGATGTGAGAGGGGGAGATGTGAGAGGGGGAGATGTGAGAGGGGGAGATGTGAGAGACCGGGTAGGGGGGAGCAGAGGGAAAGAAATTAGAATGCAAGGGGGAAAGGGGGCTGGTTAGAGAGCAAGGGGGACAGGGGGGAAGTTAGGGAGCAAGGGCGTTAAGGGGGGCGGTTAGGGAGCAAGGAGGGAGCCCGAAATCGCATTCCCCAGACTTACCCTGCGAAGGAAAACACAACTTGCCGCACCCCTCATCACCTTGCCGCACCCCTCATCACCTTGCTGCACCCCTCATCACCTTGCTGCACCCCTCATCACCTTGCCGCACCCCTCATAGGGGCAGAAGAAGCGCTTCTCGCCCGTGTGGATGAGGAAGTGGCGCTTCAGCTTGCTGCTGTCCACAAACCGCTGCCAGTGGGTGGGCAACAACAGACGAAGAGAGGGCAACAAGAGAGGAAGAGAGGGCAACAAGAGAGGAAGAGAGGGCAACAAGAGAGGAAGAGAGGGCAACAAGAGAGGAAGAGAGGGCAACAAGAGAGGAAGAGAGGGCAACAAGAGAGGAAGAGAGGGCAACAAGAGAGGAAGAGAGGGCAACAAGAGAGGAAGAGAGGGCAACAAGAGAGGAAGAGAGGGCAACAAGAGAGGAAGAGAGGGCAACAAGAGAGGAAGAGAGGGCAACAAGAGAGGAAGAGAGGGCAACAAGAGAGGAAGAGAGGGCAACAAGAGAGGAAGAGAGGGCAACAAGAGAGGAAGAGAGGGCAACAAGAGAGGAAGAGAGGGCAACAAGAGAGGAAGAGAGGGCAACAAGAGAGGAAGAGAGGGCAACAAGAGAGGAAGAGAGGGCATTAGAAAAAAAAAACCGTCAGGCTGTGGATCGGCCATCTTGTTTGAAGAGGGGGGGATGTAACATGTCGACCGCTAGCCATGAACGCGTGACATGAAATAGTGTGAGCACAAGGCCGGCCATGTGAAACCTCCACGTGGCTGGCTCGTGAAACCTGCAGCGAGGTGATTAGAACATGCTTGAACCTGGCCAGTCGATTGATGCCTTATGTGAGTGTAAACGTGGCAAATGATCGACATATTTGCAAGGAACGTCTGGCGGAAACCAGATTTGCCTCTCTTTAACGGTGACCTCTCACCTTGCCACACCCTCACCTTGCCACACCCTCACCTTGCCACACCCTCACCTTGCCACACCCCTCGTAGTGACACACGAACTGCCTCTCCCCATGCACGTTCGAGTGCTTCCTCAACCCCCCCGCATCCAGAAACGCCTTTCCGCACCCATCCACACCGCACACAAACGGACCTCCACCCAATGGCCCGCCAACCCCAGCAGCAGCAGCAGCAGCAGCGCCAGCAGCACTGCCAGAAGCAGAGAGACCAAAGCCCAGGCCTGTTCCTATGCTGCTACCACCCCCGCTTGCTGCTGTCGCCTGCTCCTCCCCCGCTGCCGCCCCTGCTGCACCTGCAGCACCACTCTGCATGCCACCTGCACCGCTTTGCATGCCCAACCCACTTGCACTGGGCATGGGAATGGCGCTTGAGCTTGCAGCACCTGCTGCAGCTGGGGAGCCTGCAGGGGCCATTCCCGCTGCTGCGGCTGCGCCCATTCCACCCCACGCCCCTCCTCCTCCCCTCCCTGCCTCCCCTACCACTGCTCCCCCTCCGCTCATCTGCATGCCCACACCCCCCCCTCCGCCTGCCCCTCCCCCTGCACCTCCCCCGCCCCCTGGGTATGCGCCCGCACCACCCGCCATACTGCCATGAGCAGCAGCGGGCAGCTGCAGCATCGCCAGCCCCTGCATCGACCCCCCTGCTGCTGCATGTGCGTGCGCCCCAGGCATACTCCCTTGCCCTTGCCCTTGCACCCCCGCTTGCATTCCCCCGGGCATGACAGCAGCAGGGGAACCACCTACGCCAGCGCCAGGGAAAGGCAGTGCGCCGCCGCCACTCCCCTGCGCCATTGCCCCCTGATTCTGCATTCCCTGTCCCAGCCCCAGCCCCAACCCTAGCCCCTGCCCCAACCCTAAACCTTGCCCCGGCCCCTGCCCCTGCATCTGCCCGCCCTGCCCCGGCCCCTGTGGGATAGCGGGAGAGTGCGAGCGGGCGTCATGAGGCGGCCCTGATTGGCCTCCACTTGCCCCACCTGCTGCCCCGCCGCCCGCCATTCCTGACGGGCCGCCCGCTGGCATGCCGCCACGGGCGGCAAGGGCGGCAGCAGAAGGCGAGAGGTGGGCGGCGGAGGGCAGGGAGAGGCGGAAGATGGTCGGCCCGCCGCCCGACAGGGAGGTGGGGGCGGCGACAGGGGCGAGAGGAGAGGGCGTTCTCAACGCTGCTCCTGCTGCTGCTGCTGCTCCTGCTGGCGTTGCTGGTGGTGGAGTTGCTGCAAGGGGAGAGCCCCACAGAGTGGGGTCCGCTCCTCCCCCTTGCCCGCCCTGCCCTCCCTGCCATTGCCCTGCCTGCCCCTGCATGCCCCCTCCAGGCGCAGGGGGCATTTGCTGCTGCTGCTGGCCCCCCATCTGCCCCGGCTGCTGCAGCTGCCGCTGCAGCTGCATTTGCATCTGCCCCATCTGCTGCACCTGCCCGGCCTGCCCGTTCACCTGCCCGTAGCCAAAAGTGGGCATCTGCTGAGAGTAGGAGCCCCCATAGGACGAGGGGGCGTTGGAAAGGTTGGGCATGGGCGGCACATGGGACATGCTGGGCATGTTGGGCAGGTTGGGCAGATTTGGAATGTTTGCCATATTTGGCATGTTTGCCATTTGGGGAAGGTTCAGATTGGGCATGTGGGGGAGGTTTGGCATGTGGGTGACCTGAGGCATGTTAGAGAGGCGAGGGGGAGGCGGGTAGTAACCAGGGGAGGCGTTATTTCCCATATAGCCCATACCCATGCCCATACCAGCCCCACCAGAGGCACCAGCAGCGCCACTCGCACCCTGCCACGTGGCACCACGAGGGGTAGCGTTGGCAGGCGATTGGGGGAAGCCGGGGAAGGGGCCTGGCGCGCGGGAGGATGAGGCGGAGGGGGGGGGAGGGGTGGCGGAGGAAGCAGGGGGGAAAGGGGGCGGGGGGAAGGGGCGCAGGTGCGGCATGTGCAGCTGGAAGGGCGAGGCGGACCTGGGCGCGCTGGCAGGAGGGGGGTCCGGCGCCTCTGGGGGAAGGGAAAGACGCGGAAGGGTAGGGGGGAGAGGGGGGAGAAGGGGAGAAAGGGGAGGGGGAAAGGGCAGCACATGGGGCGGGAAGGGAAAGAAGGATTGAGGCATGGAGAGGCAGTTGCTCGCATCTTAACAGCACCGTAAGGGCAAGAAGAGGAGCAGGTGACGGGTGGAGCAGGGGTATGGCTGGCAGGTAGTGGTACTATCACTGTGCGCGGGTAGGTTGTGCACTGTGTGTGTGAATGCGGTTGTCTCACGTTTGACCCGCTTGACTCACGTTCCGCTTGACTCACGTTTGACCCGTTTGACTCACTTTTGACCCGTTTGACTCACGTTTGACCCATTTAAGTACTTTGCACTTGCCGTTGTTGAGAACCGTCTCCTGCACCACCCTGTAACGCGTATGGAGGGAGCCATAGCGCGCCGAGCACACGAAAGCTTATCAGCTTAAAATATGGGAGAAGGGCGTACAAAGGGAGCACATCAGGGCGAGCAGGTAAAGGGCACGGGGGCGGCAACGCGGGCGGCAAGGACGAGAGAAGACGAGAGAGCACACACACGCACTCACAAGTCACAAATTTGGTGCCACGAGTCAACTCACCACTGGCGGACCCATTTCGCTGCAGGCTTGCGCGTGGAGACGGGCAGCGGATGCGGCGGAACGGAGAGCGGATACGGCGGGGCGGAGAACGGGTGCGGGGCGGAAAGCGGGCGTGGCGCAAAGTTGGCGGGAGGCGGGGGGGAGGGAGCCGCCGGGGGAGGGGTGTATGGTAACTGCGGGGGAGGCGGAGAGGCGGGGATGAGCGGAGGCGCGGCGGAAAGGAAGGACCGCGGCTGTGAGGCCATGGCTGCGGGCGCGTGAAACCCAAAGTACAGGTGCACTTAGAAGCGCTTGAATGCGATGCGCTAAGATGTGCCACTACACGTTCGTTACCCGTTACAGTCACTGCCTCTTAAAGCATGCTATGCGCGTGAAGCGTTTCGTTTGAATGCTTTCAGCGCCCTACAAGCACAGCGACAGGTCAGCCTGACTTGTGATTGGCCGATTCGTTAGTCGGTCGCGCGGAACGACGGCATGCACGAGCGCACAGCCACAGGCAGGGTCGATCAGGACGACTGAAAGGCATGCGCTCCAAGTAGCCGTTGGGAACGCGCACGCGAACTCTCGATTTGGACGAGTCGTCAATTTTTAGGGGTAGGACCCAATTACCTCTGGGTGGAGCGGAATGGTCTTGGAAACTCAGTACGCGTCCCCTCCCTCGATCGATCGTGCAAAATTAAGGGAGATCAATCCTTCACCGCACTGAAACCCTGGGTTTGCTAATTTTCGACTTTTTGAACCTCTTTAAACCGAGCTCAGGATCGATCCTACGCAGGATCGATCGAGGGAGGGGACGCGACCTCAAACCCCACTCACACGCCGCCATGCATGGCTGCTGACACCTGTGATCTTGCGTTTCGTTTCGCGTGCTGAACTAGGTTCGATCCCATGGAACAAGAGTACGCTATTGCGAAGCAGATGAGTGAAACTAAATCGTGAGCGGTTTGGGAACGATGGGTCAAACGAAATTCGCGAAATTCAAGCTCCTCCCTATTTCCCCTCTGCATTCCGTAACCTTGAGTCCCTGAATTCGCGAATTTCACCTGCGAAGAAGTTCGATGCGAGTTTCATTTGTCGCGTCTCGAAACACGGAACGAAACCTTCCCAGAATCGAAAATGCCATTTGCTTTCCAACAGTCTCGCCATTGTCACACATCCGTCTGCTCCTGCTTTATGAGACTACCTCGAAACGCGCACACCACTCTGCATGGGGGCCTGCAGACAGCGATATTGCCGGCGGCTATTCGACGCGAGAAGAGGACCATTTCCATAGCCGCGCCCGCGATTATCATTGCCAGTTGGCCGCAGCATAGCTTCGCGATGCCGTTAGAGAGTCCTCAAAAGAGCTGTGCGATGACGTCAGACTGACAAGGCAGGTGAATCTTGTTATACAAAGGCCTCGCATTGCCACGTGTCCCAATCAGACGACCACGATTGCAAACCCTTCTCACAACATGCTAACACCGCGCCTCCTTATACCGCCTTCTAGTACTCCCCCCTAGTACGCCTCCAAACAGTACCTCGTTAGAATCGCGTCCTCCTATTGCTGCCACTAGGAGTGTCGTTCCTGGTGTTTCCCACAGCCTCGTTCCCTTGACGCCTATCCGCGCACGCGTCTTAGGCCTCCACGTTACACGCACAATGGCTGCTGCTGCAGCTGCTGATGCACCTGCTAGTGGCGAGTGTCCTTGTATCGAGGACAACGCACCTGACGACTGGCGATGGGCGGCTCAGTGCATGATTTGGCGGATGGAGCCACCGACGGCTGTGATTGAATGTGCTACGTAAGCCACCAATCAGCGTACGGCATCCTATTTTTCATTTCGTTCCTGATTTAGACTTCATGCTTCCATCGCACACAATGCCGCACACCATCCCATGTCATCTCATGTCATCTCATGTCATCTCGTCATCCCATGCCATCCCATGCCATCCCATGCCATCCCATGTCATCTCGTCATCCCATGCCATCCCATGCCATCCCATGCCATCCCATGCCATTCCAACGCACGGTGCAGGAAAGGACATGAAGGCAATTTGACAGAGGCCGTGCAACAACAGCTAGTGACCATGCTACAGTCACACCCGGTTAGTCACACCACCACTGCCAGTCACACACGACATTTAGTATCACACATCAGCGTGCTACAGTCACATCTCAGTTCGACCCTGACTGGATTTCCTTGTTGCTCCCCACTCTCTGCTCCCCAAACCCTCTCTCTCGCTCTCTCCAGCCGATTTCAAAACTCAACTGAACAATGAGGAAAGATGGGCACTAGCAGGGCTTAAGTAGCCTCAGAGGGCTCAGGGCTGAGGGCAAAGAGCTAAGCTAACCACATCTCTCCCACTCTCTCGCATCTCAATCTCAGCTGTTTACACTCACTTACTTCTCACCGCCCACTTATCTACCCCCATCCCACCCTCCCTCCCCTCCACTACCGCCCCCAGCTAGGTCCTCGTTTCGCTGCTGATCGCGCCTACTCTCTCCGCTTGCTGAAGCTGCTTATAACGGAGGCAGAGAGGGGGCCGCGAGGGGAGGTGTGGGAGGAGCTCTACCCGCTCTATGTGGACGCGCTGGGCGCTGCAAAGGGGAGGGGGGATGGTGGGGAGGGCGAGGAGGCGGAGGAAGGGGCGGAGGTGCAGCAGGAGGGAGAGCCGAGCCATGCTGTAGGTGCTGCCTCTACCCTGCCTTGCCCCACCTCTAGCATGCGTTGCCCCACCTCTAGCCTGCGTTGCCCCACCTCTAGCCTGCGTTGCCCCACCTCTAGCCTGCGTTGCCCCACCTCTAGCCTGCCTTGCCCCACCTCTAGCATGCGTTGCCCCACCTCTAGCCTGCCTTGCCCCACCTCTAGCCTGCGTTGCCCCACCTCTAGCCTGCCTTGCCCCACCTCTAGCCTGCGTTGCCCCACCTCTAGCCTGCGTTGCCCCACCTCTAGCCTGCGTTGCCCCACCTCTAGCCTGCGTTGCCCCACCTCTAGCCTGCGTTGCCCCACCTCTAGCCTGCGTTGCCCCACCTCTAGCCTGCGTTGCCCCACCTCTAGCCTGCGTTGCCCCACCTCTAGCCTGCGTTGCCCCACCTCTAGCCTGCCTTGCCCCACCTCTAGCCTGCGTTGCCCCACCTCTAGCCTGCGTTGCCCCACCTCTAGCCTGCGTTGCCCCACCTCTAGCCTGCGTTGCCCCACCTCTAGCCTGCCTTGCCCCACCTCTAGCCTGCGTTGCCCCACCTCTAGCCTGCGTTGCCCCACCTCTAGCCTGCCTTGCCCCACCTCTAGCCTGCCTTGCCCCACCTCTAGCCTGCCTTGCCCCACCTCTAGCCTGCCTTGCCCCACCTCTAGCCTGCCTTGCCCCACCTCTAGCCTGCGTTGCCCCACCTCTAGCCTGCCTTGCCCCACCTTTGCTGTGCTCAAGGATCATGATGGGTGGCAGCTACTTGGTCGAATGCTGCTTCAACTCGCATGGCCGGGATAACCACACCCGGTGCTTGGCTCCTACAGGAAGATTTTAAATCACATGACTAACTTACGTGTTCGCTCTCACGCTTCTCTCCTCATTTGTCCCCACGATGATTCTTCCCTGCCTCATTACGTGTGCCGGGCCTTCTTCAACATGTGTCCTGTCTATTCTTGCACGCCCTTGTTGGTTTACCAATCGATGGAGAGCTCAGCTCAGAGACCAACCTGCCCTTGCGGCACATCACGCTCTTTAACCTCATGCCTTCAGCTCCCACTCTCCACCTGCCATCCCTCTTATCATCCACCCCCGTTCCCACCCCCCAACACCCCCCGCCATGCACCGCACACACCATCCCCATTGCCACACACGCACCAAGGCAGACAGCACGCCCTGGTGCTTCCACACGTATGCCCTGCGCCTGCCACCGCTCTCCTCCTGCCCGCCCTACCCTCGCGTGCACATAAACAGCTCCAGCTGCCCCGCAGTCTCCTCCCACGCAATCGCCCCCACCGCGGGCTCCTCCTATGCGCTCACGGTGCGCGTGTCCCGTGACATGCTGAGAGGCGGCACCGGGTGAGCAGCACTGGATCCCTCAAGCCTCAACGCTCTTCTCCTTCTCCCTGCTCCTCGCCCCTCCCCTGCGCTATGCTGCTGCTTCGATGCGCCATTGCTTCCCTTTTCCACACGCGTCTACCTACCTGGGCACATGTCACATGCAAATGCATCCCCATGGCACCCTTTTGTCACACATGCGTCTAAACTTCTCGCGCTCGTCTACATGCCTCGCCCCTTCCCTTCCCCCTGTGTCCCCCCATGGCACCCATCTCCTCTCCCCCATCAGCTGCACGGCATGGCCGGCCTCTCTCTTCCTCGCAGAGGCCCTCCTCTCGCACCCGTCTCTCCTCCTCCCCTCTCCCCACCGCCCCTCCACGCACTCGCCCTTTACACCCACCCCCGCGCCTGCTGACTCAACCCAAGGGGCCCCTGCCGCCCCTGTTGATGGCGCTGCGGTGGGAGCCTCTAAGGGCCCTGGCAGCACGCCGGTGGCTGGGGAGCCGCGCCCTGTGAACGCACCGGTGTGCCTGGAGCTGGGGGCGACTTTTGAGTCGACTCAAATGTCACCGCGCCCTGTGAACGCACCAGTGTGCCTGGAGCTGGGGGCGACTTTTGAGTCGACTCAAATGTCACCGCGCCCTGTGAACGCACCAGTGTGCCTGGAGCTGGGGGCGACTTTTGAGTCGACTCAAATGTCACCGCGCCCTGTGAACGCACCAGTGTGCCTGGAGCTGGGGGCGACTTTTGAGTCGACTCAAATGTCACCGCGCCCTGTGAACGCACCGGTGTGCCTGGAGCTGGGGGCGGGCTGTGGGCTGCTCGGGCTGTGCCTCGCGCCCCTCCCACTTGCTAAGGTGTGTGCTCGACTGGGAGAGGATTGGAGACGAGCGATTAGGGCAGCGTGCTTTGTGTGGTGTGTGGGAGGGTGGGGATTGTCGTGTGTGGTGGTAGGGTGTTTCATACCATGCCAAGTGGAGGGGGGCACCATTCTGCATTGTGACCGCATTGTCTCCGCACGCCACTGTAGGGTAGGTGACTGCTGGATTCATGGTGGACGCAGCCTGCTCGCCTTCTTTGAACACCATGTGCAGCTGCAACATGCCTCTCCTTCCTCCTTCCTCGCTTCTCCTCTGCTGCTCTCCACCTTATCCAGGTCATCCTCACTCACACGAGCAGCGAATCCCCATCCTACATCTGGTTCCCCATCCTACATCTGGTTCCCCATCCTACATCTGGTTCCCCATCCTACATCTGGTTCCCCATCCTACATCTGGTTCCCCATCCTACATCTGGTTCCCCATCCTACATCTGGTTCCCCATCCTACATCTGGTTCCCCTATTTCCGCATTCTTGTGCTACCCTTCCCCTTTACCGCCCCCCTCTCCCCGCCCATTATCCCCATTCCGCCACCCTCTTCCCTCTTTTCCCCCTCCCCCTGTCCACCCACCTCAACTTCACAGATGCCAGCACCGCCTCTCTCACCAGCCTCTGCTTCACTCACTCCCCCTTTTTTTTGCCGTTTTCTGATGCCCTTTTCCCGCCCTCCCCCCACCTCTCACCTCCCCCAGCTCATTCTGACAGACGCCAGCACCGCCTCTCTCACCAACCTCTGCACCAACCTCGCCACCAATGCGCTGCCCTTCTCCTCGAGCCCGGAGATTCCTCTCGTGCACCCCTTGCGCCCTCATGGGAGCAAGCGCACAGCAGTCCCGAGTCAAGGCGCGCAGCACAGGGCGCATGAGGAGGAGCAGAGCGCTGAGAGAGAGGAGGTGTGCAAGGGGAATAGGTCAGAAGGGGCCGCAGAGATGCAAGGGTGGGAGGGCGTGGGGGGGGAAGGGTGTGCAGGAGGGGAGGGAGGAGCAAGGGTGCATGTGCAGCAGCTGTGTTGGGAAGAGGTCACACCCGCGCTTGCATCATCCCTCTCTGCTGACGTCATCATTGGTGCTGACATCGTGTACGACCCCTCCGTGGTCCCCGCCCTCGCTGATGCGCTGGCAGCCTTCCTGTCCACGTCAGCGCACAGCGCATGCACGGAGCGCGCCACCTGGCAAGATCAACACCCAGCTGACATGGCCCGTGCTGCTCCCACGCAGCACGCCGGCATCCCTGAACATGTCGCTTCCTCCCCACTACCCATCTCCCTGCCTCCGCCCCCCTATGCCCTCATAGCCTCCACGCACCGCAACCCGCTCACCATGGCATGCTTCCTGCAGGCCCTGCACGACCGTGGGCTGCAGGTGACGGATGTGGCAGTAGAGCTTCTGCCCCATTGTCAATCTCGGCCTCTGTCAAGATGGTTCCATTACTTGGAGCTTCCAGAAGCAGATCGCATGATGCTGCACCTGATTCATATGTGATGTTGTTTGGAGCTTGTGCTTTATATGGTAATGACTTGTTTGCAATGGCCTAGTTGCACGCGGTACTGTACAACTATGATTTAACTGTCACAGCTGTGGTGATCACATGTAAACCCAGTATGAGGCAGCACAAACGTTTGTCACTACTCCTGGGTGCAAACAAGGTGCTGAAATTGTGTGTGTCCTTTATTTTCTAAACCTTTTTTTTTTACAGAATACACCACGTGCTAAAATTGTCATATTCATACAGTTTCGAAGTCCTCCGATTTTCCATTGCAGTACTCTCCACGTTGAAACCTAGGAAACGCTATAGCGATACATTCCAGTTCTTGCTGGGCTTCTTGAGCATGCAAGTATGGGCTGGGCATTGGGCGTGCGGGAAGTATGCTCGCCACGCACGTACGGCAAGTCAGACACGAGTTGACTGGAGCGACTCTGTACACGTCGAAATCTAGTCTGGACTTGTGCTACACGTAGGCATGCTTGCATCAAGAAGGCACCATCAATGTCGTCAACAACATCTCCAATACCGTCGATGGAGATGCTTACGTGGACTCTTCCACGAACCCCTTGTCGCTCACCAGTATCAGGGTGATTCGGGAAGCACCTGAATCGCTTGATTCGTGAACCAGCCCTGCCAGTTCCTCCCTTTGAGGTGTGATGCATGACGCCGCGCCAAGTGGAATCCACGTCATTGCTGCTACACCAACCGACACTCTCCAGGGCAACGAGTCAGCCTTGAATCTTTCAAGCAAGACACCAGCGTCACCTCACCCCTCCCGAATCCCTCAGCACACCTCTTCGCTCTGGTTGCTCACGACTTTAGGGTTTCCTTTCCGCTTCAACAGCTAGCTATCGTTCGTTCGAAGCTCATCCCAAGCCAGCAGCATACTTTCTATCACTTTGACGCCGCGTTTAACGTCATGGCTGCCCTTGTCCAAGTCGCGCCAGGGTCATGCCTTTCCGCATCGCTCGCACCGTCGGCGGCCGGCGGAAGGAGCACCTCCCAACCAGCGTCGTTAGACTGCCGGCCAGTCTCTGCCGCCTCTCGACTCAGCAGCTGTGCAGTTCGCGCGAAACACCGCGTGCCTCTGCTGAGACACGTGGCAACCTTCCAGGATGACGCGTGTCGATCATTCTACGAGCCGGTACGCTGCAAGAAGGCGGACAAGGAGAGCAAGGGCTTTAAGGAGGCGAAGCGGTCGCTGAAGGCGAAAGCGGCAGTGCTGGAATCGCAGTTCGTCGCCTTGGCCGAAGCCGTTGACTCGGACGAACGGCAGACCGGCGTTGCGACGGCCACCTCGGTTGACGCGGTAAGAGATGACTCTTTGCTGACTGGCGTCTTCGTCATATGTATGTGATCAAGAACCTAACCGGGTCAGTTTCTGATATACCTACCGCACGTGTCGTGTGATCCTTTGCGTGGTGGCAGGACTTCGTTGCGACGGTGCTTCGCGAGCTGAAGGAGATCAAGGCGGAGCTCAAGTCGCTCAAGCAGACGCAGAAGAAGATGATGGAATCCTCCTCCTCCTCCTCCTCTTCCTCCTCGTCCTCATCGTCTAGCAGCGACGGCGGCATGGGGGGAATGAAGGCCAGGCGCATGGAGCGCCGCAAAGCACGGCAGCAGGGCGCCATGGGGATGATGGGGATTGGGGGGAGCGTGGGGGGTTCCGTCGCCACTGGGGCTGCTGCTGCCGGTGCGGCTGTTATCACTGCTCCTGTTGCCGCCGCCGCAGCTCCAGTCGCCGTGCCCCCCGCTCCGTCATCTGTTCAGTCTGCCCCCGCCGCTCCAGCCAATCCAGTGGCGTCGGTTCTCGCCGCACATGCACACGTAGCCTCGGAAACCCCCAAGGTGTGGGAGATCGAAGATGTGGTTTCCGCGATCGCTGGAGGCGCGTCTTTCACCAGCTCCGCGCTGCCCTCCGCCCTCCTAACGCCCGTCCAGCTCCCCCCTGTGCAAACCCCGCCTTCCCCCTCCCCGCTCCCCGCGCTCGCCTCCCCCCTTCCCGCCGCGGCTATTGCGACTGTCTTCCCCGACACCGCGGCCTCGCCGCTGCAAGGGAGCGTGGCGGTGGGTGTGACTGTCGCGGGGGACGTGGAGGTGTGCATTGGCGGGAAGTGCAAGAAGAACGGGGCGGGTGAGATCCTATCCGCCTTCCAGGCGCAGGCAGCGGGAACGGGCGTGCATGTGGAGGCGTGCAAGTGCATGGGCAAGTGCAAGGCTGCGCCGAACGTGAGAGTGTGGCGGGATGATGCGGAAGAGCCTCAGATGGAGAGTTATTTGGCGGTTGAGGATGTGGGCGTGTTGATGCAGAGGCACTTCGGCCTGCAGCCTGCTCCCGTGCCTGCTGCTGGCGCTGGAATCATGTGATGCACTGGACAGCTGGAAGGAACTCTTCAATATAGTTGTAACCAAGTGATACGCTTTTGCTGTAAGTAGACTCTTAATTGGTGGCTGCATTTGTAATGAATTCCAAATGTGGAGACTTCGGTGATGTGTATTGCTGGGACTGATTCTCAATATTACAGTGTGCAGTTTATCCTTGCATCTAGAGGTCTGATTCAAGGTCAAGCGTCTTATGCAGACTGGCTTCCATTATTTCCATTACATTCCTGGACTAGTGACTGTTGGTTTATGTGGATTCTTTGAATACAAAATACAAAGAGGTCAAGAAGAATCTCAATGGTGCAGTGGCCCATTCCCAAAATCACAATTTGCACTCTCCACACTACCTCGATGTTCTGTCTGAGTAGTGCACCATGAGTGGTTATGTGGTATGTGATTCCACAATTCCCAGAATACATCACCCCCACCCCACCCCCTTTCAAAAGATGCTCCAATAAGCTCTCTAAAGTTATATGGTGAGATTTAGCATTGAAACAACGTTGTAGAAGACCTCGGAGCAGGTCATACTTTCTATTATTATGGTAATTCAGAAAGGTTAATCCTGGTGCGCGATGGTGTAGAGCGGCAAAACGAGAATCACCGCGTCCAGACGTAAATGACCGTATTGAACCGCGTCAGACAGACCCGTATCGAAAATGAATGACCCGCCCTTCACCTCGATGTGACATGACCATGACAGTGGAGTGTTGGGTTGTCGAGGACGCGGCGTGGCTCGATTCGTGAGCCGGAGTCGTATGCGGCTCGGGGGTTTTCTGGGACGTGACGAGGTCTGGTTCCGCTGAAACAGACAGTGGTACAATTCTTAGTATTGAATTGTTTCAAGTGTAGTGGATTCAGCTTTTCCGTCTTTCAGGACAGCAGGCTTTGACTTCAAGTCCAGCCACGCCTTGGTGGGATGAATTTATGACTTCTGGAGTCGGAACCGGCAGCAACTCCGTCGTCCCCCTCTCATGTCAGGCACAATGGATTTTTTCCCTACTCGACATTTAGTTTTTGTGCACTCCGTGGCTGCGCTGAACTCCCCCACTCATCCATTTCTGGTCGGTGCGGGGATGTGCGTGGCAAACGGGTTATCCAGAAAGTAACAAGTGTTTCTCCGTGCCGCGACCTTGACCAAAGCGAACCAGGGGGCTGATGATGCGCCTCACATATAACACACTCCAGTTATTTGGGGTTCTCTCAATCAAAGCTCCAATCACCGCCAATACTCTGCTTCCACAACATCGTACCTAGCTGTTGCCATGGCCCGTGCTCTCAGCGTTTTCATCTTCATCTCAGGTGCTTGAAACAGCCGCAAAGAGCGAAAGCATGTAGCTGTTTTAGCTTGTTTACACCATCTCACCTCCTTTCGTCTTTCGTGCGTGCAGCCCTCGTAGTAGGTGCAGCTGCACAATGTGCGACACCCCTACAGGTACGCCTTAACGCCTGCTTTAGACTAGTTTGGCACGCGTGAGCGGGGCTGATTACTTTCTGTTTGCGGGAAAAAAATGCAGGCGTGCGACTTTTACTTCAAGCCTCCACGTGGCATGAAGCCTTTTGTGCCCACGTTCAAGATACGCGCCTCCAATATGAATCTCATGCTCAGCCAAACCTTCATCATGCACAAGTAAGCATCCTGGTCCGCCTTGTTCACCAGCGTGTCGTACACCTCCTGAGCTCCTGTAATACGCTTCGCAATTTTTTATTGGTCCACGTTTTTGCATGATCTTGCGTTATGAAGTCCTTCTGTCTTGCTGTTTCCAGGTCGGGTGACGTCGTGCTATCCACGAGCAATAACAACGAGTACAACGGATGCATTATGACGCCAGTGAGTACCCAAATTAGAAGATCGAGATGAGTGCTGACGCCGTAACGTCAATTAGACGACCATTTTAGATGACGGGTCGTCTCTTGTGTGCTAGCAACAATTTGGCCATGGATTCCCACTTACCACTCTTCATAATGTCTCGCATCAAAGCAGAGAACGGACTGGCGTACGTGTGATAAGGTGTTTCTGTTCAAGGGAGCGGGAAACGGGCCCAGCTCCTACGTCAACACCAACCTCGTCGCCATGTACCCCATGACCCCCGACGTCGTCCCTGTAAGTTCGATAGACATAACTACCCAGTTACTATGAGTATTGCATGTGTTCTGTTTCTTGCTGTGATCGCTGCAACCTTTGACATGGCTATATGTCGATTTTTCTTGAAAAATTCTTGCAGTTGTATAAGAATAGGTGCATCGTGCTGCGGATGGACAACACTCGTCTCGCCCGCAGCGGCTACCTCAACAGCGGTGATACCCGCATGAGATTCCCTGAGGTACGTGGCACTAGAGAATGGCAGCTCTATTACTCCGCGTTAGTCCGTTCATGTGAGCTGTCTGAAAAAATAGACGTCAATCAGCACGCTTGCCCGAGTATAAAGTCCCACTAACCCAAGTCATTTACTGTTTCCGTCTGATTTTCTCCCGTGCTGTCATTTTCATTCACTCGCCTTGCAGCAACGCCGCTGCATTGTTTTCAAGACCGCGTAAGTAGAGCGTGCGGCGCTGGCGAGTGCATAGTAACCATACACTGTAGGAGAATCAAATAAGTGGCAGCATCTGGTTCCGATCAGTTGGGAAACTCACACTTTCTGCAGGACGGCTTCGCGTGTCGTATCTGCATGCAGCTTTGATACGCAACTTAGACTGGCATACACATGAATGTCCTAGGACCTAGCTTGTAGCCTTGGTTTGAATGTTCTGTAATCCGTGCTTCCAAGGATCATATTACGACATCGTTGGGCAATAGCGGAGCGGTTTGTGGCACAATATAAGGTTTCACGGATCACAATGGCAATGGCAGAAAGCTGCGCTTGAATGCAACGGTAGAGTAGAGGAGAATAGTAGAGAAGACCTTGTGAAACCATGGACACGCGTCTATCATTGGTAACACATGCACGTGTGGGTCGTTGGTGGGCTCATAACGTGCAAGAATGCGCGAGTTTTCCAGTCGGTGGGACACAAACGTGCTTCATGAACGGGGATTTTTGTCTCCTTTGTTATGGGAAACGCAGCAGGATAAAATAAAGATCCAATACAGGATGCCAAATGATATGCATAGTTGCATTGCAACAATGCATGACACCTCAGAAGTTGAACAAAACAAAATTGCACTGTGGGGGCAAAACTTGTATACTGTAAGAGATATTATGAACCATAAGAAAACAAGACGTACTTTGTCTTGCAATCCTTCTGTTATATCAGCCATTTTGCAAAAGGTGTTATGACACAGGCAAAATAGCTATAATGGAATGAGTAAATCAGGAACACCATACGGTTGCAAGTTTGGTTACCAGGAAAACCAATGAGGTTTGGAAACTTCGCACAGCCCACGCGTCCAGCCACCGTCGGAAACTGTCCTCGCAGCAAGTCGTCGGCATCCCTGTGGGCCACGTGTGGGTCCAACTCACTGCTCCTTCGACCAGTTCACCATTGCACTGCACGGCACTGCACCGTGCAGAACTGCACTGTACTCCACTGCACAGAACAGTGGAACGAGTGTATGATACAACCGCAGAGAGGGTGGAAAGCCAGGCACACCTCAATAGTGGCTTCGTGGCGAAGCGTGGAACGTGGAACATGGATCATCACTCCGTTCCAAGTTCCAACAACCTCTAGCTTTCGTCATTCCTCATACACTCTGGCTTGACTTCATTCCGCTCGTCCTGGATTTGAATCATTTCGTATGCTCACGTACTTTCACTGACCAACTGATTAGACGCCGACCATTACAGTACATGACGCCTCATTCTTGTGGGTGAATCACTCATAGCACCGCGGAACCATGACGACTCTTCCGCCGCTTCGCGGGGGAGCGCGAACGAGGCATCGCGCAGAGCAGCAGCACGCGGCTGACTACTCGTCCACCGATGCGTTCATGCTCGCCACGCTCGCACCCGCGACGAGCCACGACGGCTCCTCGTCGCACGATTTGTCGCACGCTTCCTCTGGTGCCTCGCGAACCTCGCAAACCAAACTGGACGGGGAATGGCCGCCTCGAAATCTCCGACCGCGAAACCCTAACGGCACAGCGCACGCGAAGGCAGATTCTGGTAAAAAGGTCAAGAAAGGCGGCGTCAAGAATGGGGACAAGGCGGAGGAAGAGAGTCAAGTGGGCTTAGATGACAGGAGTACCGGTAGTGAAAGCGTCAGTAGCGTATGCAGTTCAGGTAGCGCGAAGCCAGACGGTTTAGTCGCGCGCGTTAGGAAGAATCTAGGAGACCTGCGTCCGTTTGACGAGTCAGTTAATAACGCGGACGCTGGAGCCAGTTGGAATGCGGACAGCGGAACGGGAACGGGGCAATTGGGCAGAGAGAACGCGCAAGGAGGAGGCGGAGGAGGCGAAGGAGAGGGGACAGGTGGCGGAGAGCCGTCAGGCGGAGTGCCGTCCGCCAGAACAGCCCCTTCCACCCGCGCAGTTCCGCGGAGGAGGCGGACGGCGGGCGGGTGCAGCTTCGACAGCTCGTTCGACCCGGTGCTCTCCACCTCGCCCCCCGCGCCCATGAGCGCCAGCGATTGCGACGCCCCCAAGCCCAAGGGGCGCAGGGCAGCGGCGGCGGCGGCGCTCGCCGCCAACGCCTCGTTAGAAGCCCCTCCGATACCCCGCACCGCCACCAACTCTTCCGCCGTCTCCAGCTGCTCCGCTGCTTCCGCCGCCTCCGCTCCCCCGGGCGCGCTGAAAGGGATTCCGCCCGTGGGGGGATCGCGGGGGCACAGCAGGAGCCGCTCGCACAGGTCCGGGCGGCTGCTGTCGCGCCTGGCGCACCGGCCTGGCGCAGAGCTCCCCGCAGACGCGGGCGCTGGCGCTGCTGCTGCTGCGCCCTCTAGCGCTGCCTCTGGTGCTGTGGAGGGGGAGAAGAGCGGCGGGGGAGGCAGGCATGCGGAGGGACTGCCCATGCTGCCCCCGCCTGACGCACCTCAGATCGTGAAGGTCCGATTCGGATTGGAACCGCGCCCCTTCTCTGCCAGCTCCGTTCCTTGTGATGCCAGCTCGGTTCCTTGTGATGCCAGCTCCGTTCCTTGTGATGCCAGCTCCGTTCCTTGTGATGCCAGCTCCGTTCCTTGTGATGCCAGCTCGGTTCCTTGTGATGCCAGCTCCGTTCCTTGTGATGCCAGCTCCGTTCCTTGTGATGCCAGCTCCGTTCCTTGTGATGCCAGCTCGGTTCCTTGTGATGCCAGCTCCGTTCCTTGTGATGCCAGCTCCGTTCCTTGTGATGCCAGCTCCGTTCCTTGTGATTCCAGCTCGGTTCCTTGTGATGCCAGCTCCGTTCCTTGTGATGCCAGCTCGGTTCCTTGTGATGCCAGCTCCGTTCCTTGTGATGCCAGCTCGGTTCCTTGTGATGCCAGCTCGGTTCCTTGTGATGCCAGTTCGGTTCCTTGTGATGCCAGCTCGGTTCCTTGTGATGCCAGCTCGGTTCCTTGTGATGCCAGCTCCGTTCCTTGTGATGCCAGCTCCGTTCCTTGTGATGCCAGGTCCGTTCCTTGTGATGTCAGCTCGGTTCCTTGTGATGCCAGCTCCGTTCCTTGTGATGCCAGCTCGGTTCCTTGTGATGCCAGCTCGGTTCAATGCTTGCTGACAGTATTGATCCCTCTTTTTTCTCCCCCCTCTTTACACCTCTCTCCCTTCACTCCCTCCCTTCTCCCCTCTCCCTTTCGCCCCTCTCCCTTCTTCCCTCCTCCTTTCTCCTCTCGCCCTTTCGCCTCTCTCCCTTCTCCCCTCTCCCCTCTCCCTCTCCCTTCTCTCCTCTCCCCTCTCCCCTCTCCCTTCTCCCCACTCCCCTCTCCCCTCTCCCCTCGCCCCTCTCCCCTCACCCCTCACCCCCCTCTCTCCCCTCTCCGCCAGTGCTTCTGAGGCTCCTCAAAAGCAGACTCCCTTCGTCCCTTTCCGTCTACCTCTGAATTTTCACCTCTATCCCTTGTTCCCACTCCCTCATCCCTCCTCCCTACACCCCCCGGCAGTGCCAGAGCTGCAACAAGTCGCTGGCAATGCCGTTCAACCTGTCGCTCCACCCGCCACGGGCTACCAGCAGTCAGCAACCAGCGCCTGCAGTGCGGCCAGACTTTCTGAACCGCCTCAAAAACAGACTCCCTTTGCCCCTCTCCATCTGCCTCCTTCTATTCACCTCCCTCCCCCATCCCTCTCCCTTGTTCCTGCTCCCTCCTCCCCCTCCCCGCGCCCCTGCAGTGTCAGAGCTGCAACAAGTCGCTGGCAGTGCCGCCCAGCCTGCCGCCGTCCGCCAAGGGCTATCAGCGCCTGCGCTGCGGCAAGTGCCTGCAAATCTCGAAATACGCCCTCTACTCCCCCGCCACCGCCGCCGCTGCCACCTCTGCTGCTGGTGCTGCTGCTGACCTGGAAAGAATGCAGAAGGGGGAACAGGAGGAGCGGGAGGGGAAGGAGGGGGAGGAAAACGGGGCGGAGTGTTATGGGGCGGGAGGGGGAGAGGCGGGTGAGAGAAGTGGAGGGAAAGGGGAGGAAGGTCAGGAGGGACCCGGGGAACTAGGTGCATTTCACATGTACAATGCGAACTCATATGACCAGCAGCAGTGGCAGCAGCAACTACAACAGCAACAGCAGCTGCCGCAGTTGCAGCAGCACCACTTGCAGCAGCACCACCACCAGCAGCAATTGCAGCAACCACAGCATGAGCATCAACAGTCGCTGCAACACCAGGAGCAACAGCAACAGCAACAGCAGCACCAGCAACAGCAACAGCAACAGCAACAGCAACAGCAGCAGCAACAGCAGCAGCAACAGCAGCAGCAACAGCAACAGCAACAGCAACAGCAACAGCAGCAACACCAGCAGCAGCTGCCGCCGCCGCTGCCGCCGCAGCAGAGGTGCCACCGTCGCTCTCCCTCCACAGGCGCAGCAGCAGTGGTGGCAGCAGCAGTGGCGGCAGCAGCAGCAACCGCCGCCAGCAGCACCAGCAGACACGAGTCCCCCTTCCGCAGTAAGGCAGCCCTCGCTAAGGGCGGCAAAGTTGGCGGTGGGAAAGACGGCAAGGCAGGGGGGAAGCACCAACGGCGGGCGACAGTAGACTCGGCAGAAGTGCTGGGGGCGTGGGAGAGGGAGGCTGGGCAGGCCGGTGGCGCTGGCAATAGCAGTGGGGGGCGTAGTGGAGGGGGTGCGGGCGAAGGTGTGGGAGCGGGTGCGGGAGGGGGTAGTGGGATGCCCCCTCGCCCCAGCACGAGCAGTGGCGCGAGTCAGCTGGCGGTGGCGTCTGGGTTTGGGCCCTGGGATGCTGCCACTGCCATGCACGCTGCTGCTGCAGCCGCTGCCGCTGGTGGTGCTGGTGGTGCTGCTGGTGCTAGCAGTGTTGCTGGTGGTGGTGGTGCCTCTGCTGCACTCCCTATACCGGGCTTACCCCCGTTGGCTGCGCATCAGCTCGTGGGCAGCAGCCCCTCTGGCCCACCTCCTGGCATGTTCCCACCAGGCGGAGTGGCAGAATTCCTGAGGCAGCAGCAACTCGCATGGCAGCAGCAGATGGGGCAGCAGATGGGGGCGGATATGATGCTGCAGGCGCAACCCATGGTGGCAGCAGGCATGCTTCCGCCCATGGCCCCGCAACAGTTTTCACTGCCCATGCAGCAACCCGGCATGCCGCAGCAATTTCCACCTAACCCTGTGTCTGGTGCAGCAATGCCCTATGGCCTGGCGGGGCCGGGCATGCCTGGCATGCTGCTGCCGCCAGGGGGGATGGCGCACGAGGGCATGGGGCAAGCGGGCATGGCGCAAGGGGGCATGATGCACGGGGGCATGGTGCAAGGGGGGATGGGGCAAGGGGGCATGGGGCAAGGGGGCATGGGGCAAGGGGGCATTGGACAAGGGGGCATGGGCGCAGGGATGAATGGTATGGGCATGGGCATGGGCATGGGCATGGAGATGGGGATGGGGATGGCAATGGGGGGACCCATGGGGGGATCGGGGACAATGGGACCGCTGGGCGAGGAGGGGGGCTACAGCCGGCGAGTGGTGGTGAACAGTGTGCCGATCACCGACCCGGCTGTAGCGCGTGCAGAGGAGCTCGCTGGACCCATCCACCCCGGGAGCTACTGGTGAGTGAAAGTTGCTGCTACTGGTGTGAGGTGTGGTGTGAGGTGTGGTGAGAGGCGGTGGTGAGAGGCGGTGGTGAACAGTGTGCTCATTACCGGCCCGGCTGTAGCGCACGCTGAGGAGCTCGCTGGACCCATCCACCCGGGCAGCTACTGATGATAACTGCTGCTGCTGCTGCTGCTGCTGCTGCTGCTGCTGCTGCTGCTGCTGCTGCTGCTGCTGCTGCTGCTGGCGGTGAGAGGCGGTGGTGAGAGCTCCTGCTGGTGTGTCCATAGATAGGAGGGTGCTTCTAGGGAGATTACGGCTAGGGGGCTTGCTGCTAGGGAGAATACTGCTAAGGGGGTTGCTGCTAGGGAGAAGGCCACTAGGGGGGGTTGCTGCCTGTGCAAGGCGAGGGACTGATAGGCAGTGTGCAGAGAAGGTGAGGGAAGGGAACGGTCAGATCAGAGCAGGTGGTAGGTGAGGAGTGGGCAGACAAGGTTAAAAAATCGAGGCGCTCTCACAAGAGCAAGTGCTGTAGTTTTCTCAGCACTCTCTATTATGATCGATCATTCCGCTTTACTCACAAGGGCCAGGGGCATGTGTGCTGCGGTGTGTGCTGCAGGTACGATGTGCATGCTGGCTTCTGGGGAGTGATGGGAGGGCCGTGCCTCGGGATCATCCCAGTATGTATCCTCTGCTTTTCAGTTTCCCCCCTGCTGCTTTGACTCCGCTCTCTCCTCCTCCCCCCACCATCCACTTCCAAGCCTCAGCCCGTCTCATGCTGCTTCTCCCTACCCAACCATGCCCAACCCCTGCATGACCCCCATTCCTTTCCGCTCCTACGATGGACTCTGGAGTGCTGTCCTTCTCCATGGCCGTGTGTGTCCTCGTTCGCATGCACCATGGCAGCAACTCACCTTCCACCCAATTGTGATGAGTCTATTTTTTAGTCGACTCAAAAGAAGAAGAAAAAAAATAGACCATGGCAACAAGTCACTTTCCACCCAAACTGCTATGCACACTGCCCTGCAGCATCTCACCCCCCCTCGTGTGTATGTACGTAGTGGTAGCGGCCCTGCTCTGTCACACTGCGGGGATGGTCAGGGAGCCACACTGCGGAAAGCCTACACATCCTCATGCCTTCCTTTCACCGCTCGCTTTCAATGCACTGCCTCCTCTGCTCCCCCCACCCCCAAACCCGTGTGCAGGCGGGTATCTGGGACCTAGCACTAGCTCCTCTGCTACGCCACTGCTCCAACGGGCACACACGCGTGCTGGTGAATGGCAGGGAGCTGCAGCGGCGGGACCTAGACATCCTCATGCAGAGGGGCCTGCTCGACCACCCTGGCGCCGCCTACCTGCTGGATATTCACGGCAACCTTGCTGACGCCACCAATGGGGAGCCGCTGCCCTGCCTCGGCAAACTTGCTCCCTCGTGAGTTCTCTCTTCCTGGTGTGTCTGTTACGGTTGTCACTTTTTTCTCCTGCTCGAGCACCCCGGGGCCGCCTACCTGCTGGATTTTCACGGCAACCTTGCTGATGCTACCAATGGGGAGCCCCTGCCCTGCCTCGAAAAACTCGCCCCCTTGTGAGTTCGCCTCCTCCCCCCCGTGTATCCTTTTCATGATATGTCTCAAATGCTCGCCCCTTCATTATGAGCAGAAAGTACCTGGAGGGTTGTCCCGGAATCAGCATTTGTAGAACTGTGTGAGGTGCATGTGATCTCTGGTTCATACAATTATCATTTTTCATTTTGGATAATACATATGGAAGGATGCTAAGGCATTGCTGCGTCCCATGTGGTGGTGCATGCAGGCTGGAGCTCAAGGGCAGGGGAGCAGGCATGTATGTACCCAAACAGCCCACGTAGTCTTCGGTTGTATAGTGCAATGGAGTGCACTGGAGTGAGTGAGTACTACCGTGGATTGCAAGGGTCATTCCACAGTGCTATGGGGAAATTCAGAGGCTGTTCACACGAAAGGAAGACGTCCATTGGCCGTTGTCAGGTAGAATGCTGTGCCCCCTCCAAACCATACACCCTGTTTTCAGTAATCTGACTAGTATCAGCAATGTTTGCAAATCATGACCATTTCATGAGTGAATAGTTTTTTCAAGGCAGAAACGAAACCATAATAAAAACGTGCCATAATTCATACCCCCGCATATTACAATATAGGGTGTATTGATAATCACCCCCAATGAAGGTGGGTGTTGATTTTATGGGTTGCGAAGCAACCCTTAACGATCGATTTTGACAAATTTTATTTTCATATTTATAAAACATGAAAATAAAATTTGTAAACTACAGTACCGTTCCCATACTGTATACATGTTGAGCACTTTTGCCTATTGTTTAGAATGATTGTTTCTTTTTTTTGTAGTTTGCGCAGATTTGCTAAGCTATTTGTAGTTTATGTTTTACTATTACCGTATATAATACGGTGGTAATGATAAATAGATGTGTGATGCATAAGTGATGCTATATAATGCATAATGTTTAGTATGATATGTCATGAATTATGATGCACATGTAACTAATAAAATGCGTGACGGTTAACGACCCAAAACTAATCTACCGCCATCCCCTGCCTAGCATGGGGGGGAGGTCAACAGCATAGCTTTTTGAATAATCAACTGTCACATGGAACAACGCAATCTGTGAAATCTAAAAAAAAGGTCAAGTCCATCAAATCCAGTTCGAAGTGGTCGCACACGAGTCACTGAGTGCGCCAATGAACCTTTTGTGAAATGATAGACCTGAATCTTCTTTTTACAAATCACAGACATGCATTGTTATTGCAATGGATATGGATGAATGCACACACCCACAGCACACAGACACACATACACACACATACACAGGATATATGGTAGATGAATGACACAATCCCGTTGCACAAACAAAAACGAACAACACACAATACAAAAGAAACTTGAGGAAAAAAAAAGATCCAAAAGATACCTACGACAACAATACAATACCATACAAACAATCCTACAGCTCGGGTCACCACAACTGTATCTTTCCACTTTTAAGATTGAACATGCCTTCCCGAAATGTACAGCAAAGCCTCTGGGGAGTAGGAAAGGGAGAAACAGAAAGGGTGAAAAGAGAATTGGGGGGGGGGGGGGGGGGGGGAGGGATATTGATGCCAACTTTGAAAGAAACACACAAACTGGCTTATTGAACACAGATAGCAAGGAAATGCACACGACCTAAACAACGTCGTACACCAACATCTAGATGTTCAAATGCCACGATAGAATTAAAAGCATAAGGATACGTTCCAAGTAAAAATGTAAAAATAAGTGAGTATACAAAGACCGAAGGAGTATGAATATGAGTAGGCATACAACACGGGGGACATTGTAGTAGAGAACAGATGAAAAGGAGGAGACGATAATGGGGATGGGGGCACAGAAAAGAAAGACATAAACTATGCAAGAAAGAACGACGAGATGACTGAAGTTAGAATGAAAGTATGTAGGACTGAAAGAAACCACAGAGACAAGAAGATGTGGAAAGGGGAAAAAAAAAAAAAAAAAAAAAAAACAGAAATCATCCGTACTAAAATATCAAGTAAAGAAGGACGGGAAGAAAGTAAAGGTGAAACTGCAAAATATGAGAAAAGGTGTGAAAAAAAAAGAGAGAAAAGATACAGAAAAGATAGAGTGAAGAGAGTGGAACCAGAATGGTACAGTACAGCACGCAAAGAAGCAGAACGGTATAGAACGGTACAGAGTGAAGAGAGTGGAACCAGACTATACACGAGATAAGAGAAAAAGAAGCAGTGCAGGAAAAGAAAACATGAGGGACGAAAACAAATAGAAATATATCCGAATTTAAAATAAAACAGTAATAAGGATGACGAAAACCAAACAGTAATAGAGGCTAAGTGAAACAATGGAGGAACGGAAGATATGACGGAAAATGCATGAAAATACTCTCAGAATAGGAATGCAACGGAATGGGCGAAACTAGAAAGTGTGAGAGTACAAATATGCAACCCTAACAACTGTACTCCCTATTGTGCTACTCACTGTAGCCTACAAGCATATAATTACATTTGACACACCCCCATAGGCTAAGTGAGGGGCATCAAAGCAAGCAAGGTGAACAAACGGTCACAAGACCAGTCAAAGCAAGAAACAAGGCAAGCTCATGGTGGATCTCAAGGACACCACACAAATTCCGAGCGCAAGCAAGCGGCCACAAGGCCAGTTCAAGAGTTCACTAGGATATAAATACAAAGCACAACAAGCAGAGCAAACAACAAGACTACAGCAACCGAGGGCATACCTCAACAAGCCCCAACTGCACACACAACCTGTGGTGATCACCAAGCGCCAAGGCCTTGGTGAAGACGTCTGCAGTGTTGGCCTCTGAGGCCACAAAGTCCAGGCGTGCCTGGCCGCGTTGCTGCAGCTCTCGCAGGAGGAAGTACCTCACGTCAATATGCTTCACTCTGCTCTCCAGTCGAGGCTCTCGACACAGGAGGATCATGGCCTTGTTGTCAGCGTACAAGGTCGGTGCAGAGCGAGGCCGCTCACCAAGGTCGGCGAGCAAGAAGGTCAACAAGCGAAGCTCCTGTGCCGCCATGGCACCAGCGTATATCTCTGCCTCTGCACTGGAAGTAGCCACAGACAACGACCGCGTAGACCTCCACGACACAGCACCAGCTCCCAGACTGAAGCAGTAACCCTGAGTCGAGCGCTGAGTCTCCACGTCGTCAGCGTAGGAAGAGTCGCAGTGACCAGTCAATGCCACTGGCTGAGTCCCTCCAAGCACAAGCCCCATGCCTGATGTAGTCGCCAGGTACTTCGCCACCCTCACAGCAGCTGTCCAGTGGACAGGACGGTGTCTCCCAGTCGCAACAAAGCGAGAGAGGATGCTGAGGGGAAAGGCGAGGTCCGGCCGAGTACAAGTCATCAGGTACATGAGGCAGCCCACAAGCTCTGCGTAGGGACCACTGGGCTCAAAGGGCTCGTCAGGAAAGGGGCCAGTGAGTCGGTGGTCAACAGCAAGAGGAGTGGGCTGTGTGGTGGAGAACTGGAAGTCGAACCGCCGAAGGACCTGCTGCACCATGTGTGACTGCGTCAGTGTGATGGTGCGAGCGGCTCTGTCCCTGGTGATCTGCAGGCCAAGGTAGCGCTGCAGCTCACCCAGGTCAGTGCACTTGTGTCTCTTCTGCAGTTCGGACTTCACCTGAGCCAGAGCTGCCCTGTCTGCGGTAGCAAACACCAAGTCGTCGACGTAGACAAGGAAAAAGAAAGGAGTAGAACCCGCTCGAACAAACAGCGACGGGTCGGCGGAGGACGGGCTGAACCCAAGGTCACGAAGCGTGGAGCGAAGAGTGTCGTGCCACTCACGGGGCGACTGGCGGAGACCGTAGACTGGTCGCCTTAGGCTCCACTGGGTCACAGGTGGGAAGGTGTCAGTGAAGCCAGGAGGACGGCGCAGCCAGATCTCCTCGTGCAGTCGGCCCTGGAGGAACGCAGTGGAGAAGTCGAGGGAGTGCAGCTCGTAGTCTCGCTACGCTGCTATGTGGAGTAGCACCCGAAGAGTAGTCATCTTCGGGGTCGGGGCGAAGGTCTGGAAGAAGTCAACTCCCTCACGCTGACTGAAGCCCCTAGCCACGTAGCGCGCCTTGAACACCGGCGGTGCTCCAGGAAGCCGCTTCACCTTGAAGAGCCACATGCCATCGACTACGTTCGCCCTGGGAGGGGGAACTGCGTCGACGTAGGTGCCTGTGGATCTCCAAGACGCCAACTCTGAATCCATAGCCGCTTTCCACTGAGAGGCCCACGCCCCTGACACTGCCTCGCGGTAAGTGCGAGGAGTCGGTATGTCAAGGGCGTCGGGGTCTCCCTCAGGGGAGAGCAGCATGGCACACACAGAGGGAGAAGCGGCTGCCCAGTACTCTAGCTCAGACTCTCTGTCCTCTAGGACGTCACAGCCAAGGGCAAACCCACCCCCGACGGACAGAGGACGAGAGGGAGGAGCTGGCACCACACGGGTGGCGTAGTCAAGGCGGCTGGCGGCAGCAAACTCAGCGACAGCGGCAGTGAGAGCCGAGGCAGACGACGGAGGGAAACGAGAGTCGGCGACAAGAGTGGCGAGGACACGTGCGGCAACAGGACGAACAGCGCGGTAGTAGTCAGAGATAGGAGTGGGGAGGGCTGTGAGAGAGGACGGAGGAGGAGACGAGAGAACGGGCACAGGAGAAGGAGAACGACGACGAGACGAACAAAGGAGGGCAGTGTGGAGGTCAGTAACAGGGGACGAGTGACGAGCACGCGGAGGACAACGGGTGATCAAGTCGCGACGGACAGAAGGAGGAGGAGACTGAGGAGGAGGAGAAGACCAGACCGCCGAATGGTCGTCAGGAGGAGGCAACGGAGGAACAAACACAGGAGGAGACTGGGAGCGGACAGGAGG